CACACACACACACACACACACACACACACACACACACACACACACACACACACACACACACACACTCTATACTGGCAAAATCACCCGAACTCATCCAGCATCACCCCTACAATTCAGGTATGTTACATCATCCTTTGCCTGCTACATTATTTGTTACTCTGGGGACCACAAGTGTTTTTGTGCACACTGCAGGTCATTCACCTCAAATAATGAGCACATCACAAAGAGTGCATTTGTGTTCAGGTGTTTCAGTTTATCTGGCCTGACCTGTGCAGCTGTTGGCATCCATCCAAAGAGAGATTAAGCATGCTTAGAAAATGCAGAGTGTGTAAATAGCAAATTACTCTTAACTCTTAAAAATGTTTTGGAGGCATCATTTGCTGGGTGGTTTTACCTGACTCACATTTATCTTGGCCATACTGGCCTGAATATAAGGCAATCTTTAGGCTTGTGTGACAGTAATTCCATACCATATAACTGAAGATGAGTTAGATTGTGTTTGTATATGTAGAAAATATATGGGTTGCGTGCTTTCAGCTTTCAATATTTGGCTCAGTCTCATCTTTATTGGTGTGACTGAAACCATGTTTCTTTGAAGCATACCACCCACCTAAACACCACTGCAGACTGAGTCACCACCCCCACCCTCCACCTTTTGAATGCCAACAAAGGCTTGAGGGGCAGCGCACAATCTAATGTCCCCGTCATCATAATAACTTTGGTCCAGGATCAACAATGCAACTGACCACTGACGTGGCCTGAGCAATTAGTTAGCATTAGGAATGAAATTAGCTAATCCTATTAAAAACTGTCACTAGCAAACATCATGAGCAATCTAAATCTAAATATTTACTATACTGTATAAATGAATGAAGAAAACACCTGAAATGTGTTCCAGAAGAAAGTTTTATATAAACAGGGCATGTGTTCTTTTTTTCCCCATATTGCAAACAAATGACCGATCAATTGCAATGTTGATCCTGGACCAACATTATTATGATGATGATGCAGAAACACCACCAACGGGCATATCAGACACACCCTAGCAGTAGCTAACTTCCCCTCTTCACCCAGAGAGTTGATGAAAAACTATTTAGAACTTTTTTTCAAAGGTTTAGAAGGTTCAGGGAGCATGGCAAACTCCCCACATCCCAAACCAATCAGGCATCTATAGAATGTGCCACAACAAGTGTCAACATGCAACCCCCAGGATGCAGAGCATCTGCTACCAAAGTCCCAGTGCCAGATACCACAGAACCCCTACAGAAGTCCTGTATCCATGCTTTGACAGGTCAGAGAAAGACCTACATGAAATTAGTGAAATTTATGATGACTGAATTTGGATGTTAGTTTTTGTAGGTCTAGATATTTAGTAGCAATTCAGGCAACTCTCAACATAAGCACACATCAGCTGATGGCTCATCCAGTCAGAATCCAATCCCAGTCTAAATTTCTTGTTGAGATTAACCTGCACATGGCTGCATTGGATCTTCAACTCACTTTGCAACGGAGTGCCACCGCCAGTTTAACATATATGGAATCTGAGGTAAACTTTCATAATAGGATGAATGTCTTTTCCCAAAATTTGTTCAAAAAGGTGATTTATCTTATGCTCAGATTATCCACACAGTGTTGTGCACATAAAGGTAGATGAAAACATGCCTAATGATTGTGAAAGTATGAACAACGGACACACCATGTAATTAGCTGAAATCACTGTGATTATGGAAGAAGCAAAATATGGGTCAGAGTTGGGGCCATTGGCTGTGTGTGGTGGTATAATCTGTCACTGTTCCAGTAATATTACAACCAAATGGAGTTGAAGGACTATTTTAATGCTTACGGAAATATCAGTTTCAAGTCCAGCTAGAAAAAATATTAATTATTATTTAGAAAATGTAAAAAAAATAAAAAATTAAATCAGACCAGAGGGGAAATGAAAAGGTACGAAACACGTTACTGTCATTTCACTGGTACTGTAGTCTTAGATGTTGGAACAGATGTGTTGTGCTGCTACTGTTAGTTCAAACTGAGGTTTAACAACTTTACACAGGATAAGTTGGTGTTTGATGTCAGACTTTGTAAAACTGAAGAGTTTCCACATCACTGAAGAAACATGCTTTTTTGGTCCTGCTTCGTGGTTCTCAGCAGCTGTTGGGAGTGTGTATGTGTGTTTGACTGGCAAAGCTAACAACAGCAGCTCAGGCTGATGTCGTGACTCTCACTGCTGTTGCTGCTGTTATTGTTAGAAAGATAAAGCATTGATGAGGAGGAGGCATTTTTTACATGGTGCAAATTCAAAAATTTAAATGAGCCTTTGATATGTCGATAGTGCACTCAGCATGTTGAATTCTCTTATGTGCACTTGGAGATAAGTCACAGAACTGGATTGGCTGCTTGCACGTCTGACTATGTGGTTAAATACTTTGATTTTTCTTTCAGTTGAACAGTGCTTTGAAGTTAAAGGGAATGCATTCATATTTCAGCCTTTTAACATCCACCAGGTCACTAGCAAACAGTCTAAGGTTAGGAGTAGCTTTAGGGTTGGGTTTTTATTTAATCACATGCTAAAAGGCAGTTTTTCAGAAACTAGACGTTACCTTTCAGTGAAAGATCGATACATTGCTTTTACATTACAGTCTATTTGTCATAAACCTTATTATATGGGTAATCCAAATAGGTGAAAATTATATAAAAGGGTTGGACACGAACTTAACCCAAACTCTACCCCCAACATTTGATGGCTCATAGAAAGTGAAAGCTGAGTGCAATGAGGTTTTTTATGAGAAACAGTGGGAGATCAATATATTACGGTACATAAAATGACTGGTTGGAATAAACAAATAAACGGCATAACAAGGACCAAAGCTGACTATATACTGTCTACTAGTCACAAAAAGTAAAGCTTAAGCAGCTATTGTAAGGAACATGGTGCCGCAGGTTGGTTTTCTTCCTCTCTTCCATTTTTTGAGTCACCAGTTGCCTCTAGTTGCTGTTGACCTCTTGAAAGTAAAATGGATAAGACGTTCTTTTCTCAGAGGATAAAATCGCTCCCCTCATATACAGGGATTTTATATTCATGTTTTTATTTTACGGGGCGATCGCGGCTCAAGACATGGCAGTTCGTCTTGAAATCGGAAGGTTGCCGGTTTGCGCCCTGGCTCTCACAGTCTCGGTTGTTGTGTACTGGGCAAGACACTTCACCTGTTGCCTACTGGTGGTGGTTAGAGGGCCCGGTGGCGCCAGTGTCCGGCAGCCTCGCCTCTGTCAGTGTGCCCCAGGGCAGCTGTGGCTACAAAGTAGCTTGCCATCACCAGTGTGTGAATGGTTGGATGACTGAATGTAGTGTAAAGCGCTTTGGGGTCCATAGGGACTAAGTAAAGTGCTATGCAAATACAGGCCATTTACCATTTATGGAATTCATATTTTTTCATCAATGACCTAGAAAGCATGAGTGCTTCACTGTGCTCAAGGCAATATATGTGCACTTAGCCAACTATTCAATATGCAGAATGCAATCTACACTGCATACGTTGACCTTAAAATGTGTATAATAAACTCCAACGTGGATGCCAAGTTTCATCTTCTGGCTGTCATCAGGTTCCAGAGATGATCTCTGGCTTGCTGGATTATCTTGTCAATTTTTTTCTTTCGACAGCAAGTGCTTCATGCTTTATCACACTGCTGCATTTTCTATGTATGTGGAGAAAAAGAGACAAAAGTGGTGATGGAGCAGAGTGTGGTGGGTCAGCAGAGGATGGGAAAAAGCACAGCTGGGATAATTATGTTTTAATAGGAAAATAATTAGCGTGGTATCCATAGATGTCAGGGAAATGATTGATGAGGTATCTGTTAAAAGCTCAGAAGAGTTTGCAAGTCTGTGTTTGCTCATATTCCCTAACAAGCTTTCTTTATAGCTAAGCAGCTTCCTGGCATTGACTAATACCCACTATTAACATTCAGAAAGAGTACCACTGAGGATGGTAGCATTAAATCAATACAAACACTGTACATGTGTTTTTTTTAGTGTGTGTGCACATTGTGGTTCTGCATCACAGGTCGAATCAGTGGGTTATCTGCAGCAAAAAGTTATTACCAGAGCTTAAATGAAACTGTTTACAGATGAGCATGTTTTACTCTCACCCTGTGCTGACAGCTCTAGTGGAGACTTAAATTCAACGGAGGTGGGTCTCATCAACCTCTTCAGAGTCTGAATAAGCTGCAGGGAAGAAAGGAGAAAGAGTTAGAGACAGAGAGAACGCTCTGTTCCAAATGCCACCAGCATTGTGAGATGAAAACAAACAAAGCAGTGGTAATGCGGTAGATAGCACTGTGTGCAGAGAGCTGGAGCAGACCCTGCAGCACTTCTGTTCAGCCGGGTGTATGCAAAAAAGGTCAATGTGCCACTTGCAGCACAGTAGCTGTAGTGAAGACAAACCCACTTAAACTCACTGTAGCTGCTTTTGAATGCTGAGCCAGACCTTTTGGTACAAGCCTATCATGTGACTTAACTAAGTCACATGATAGGGTGGGGCAAGGTCTCACAATGGTTTCACCCCAAACCTCTGCTGATAGTGACCCACACACTTTTTCATATACCTTGGCTCATGTGATGTGGTACATGATCAATAGTGGGTCAACAACCCTCATAAGGGAAAACTCCCAGTAGGACTTAAATACCTGGGACTCGCCATCAATTGGTTTTAAAACTATAGAAGCTTCTTGGATGAGAGGTGAAACGTCCAGATGATTTTTCTTTCCAAGCTCCTAAGATCACCATGACCTGAATGACTGAGAACCTACACAGACAGTTATCAAATTAATTTGTTTATATTTTTTTAATGAAATTATGTATTTTGAATTTTTTTATTAGTTGCCATTTTCTTCCTTTTGAGTCAATTAACTGAAGTACTGTGCAGCTTAAATAAGCACTACTCAAGTATAATGTGCTTGTTTTCAGTTTTCAATGCATCACCATGATGTGTGTGATAGAAAAAAGCTCATGTGTAAGGTTAATAGGAAAGATCTGTAATCACTAATTCTTCCATTCTGTTCTTCACAACACTCCTGCTTTCCCACAATGTCAAACTCAATACAGTTGTCATTACTTAGGCCCAGTCATTTTCTCGAGTTAGTCTCTATTCCACTTGCTTTACATCTCAGTACTTGTGTCATCCTACCTTCCAGACTCTCATTTATGTGACCCACCTCGTGTTAATCTCAACATCATTCTAACCAGACAGAGATTCTTATCCAAGTCAACATCAGTGGGTCATGCCCTACTTCTTACTATTGTTAGTAGTTTGTGTAGTTTCATTGTAGTCTGATGAGCAGCTAGATTATAAATGATCTCTCCTTACTGGAGTGGGAATAACCTGTGCCTATGAATACAATCAAAGATACTAACCATGCATGTAAATGTTGCTGAACTGCAGAGCTCCTTCAGTGACAGACTGCTGCATCCTAGATGCATGAAGGAGCATTTCCGCAGGTCCTTCCTCCCTGCAGCTGTCAGACTGTACAATCAGAACTGCTCCCAAGATGTTTACATCTGCGCTGTAACTGCAATAAGTTAATTAACCAATTCGCACTACAACCTGCTTTGCCTCTTATCTGTAGTTATTTTTATTTAATTTAATAACTGTACAGTACTCTCTGTATATAGTAACCACTGTCCTTAATGTAAATATGTAAGAGAAATTGTGTATGTTTCTGTTCCGTGTCATGTGTACTGTTTGTTTGTATATGTGTCTTTTTGGCTGCTGTTACAACCAAATTTCCCCTTGTGGGACAATTAAAAGATTATTCTATTCTATTCTAAGTACTATAAAAAAGACAAGGAATCTAAAGACCAAGCAAGTATGTTTAGGACAAAGCCACAAGGACCATAGTGGGCACATCTAGAAAGTCATTGATTTTCAGTATGAAAGCTTCTAGATGTTCTAAAATATTGTGGATGTTGTCATATTAAGGTTTTCTGTGTTTTTATGTATGTATCAATTTAAAGAAGCTTATTTACAGTGTTGCATGACAAGTGACCAGTGAATGCTGAATTTATTGCAGCGCTCTAATGAAGGTGGAGCCAGAAGTTCACACATTCAACGAGTTTCAGGGCCTATTTGATCACATGTAGCCTTAAAGTACAAGACTGAAGAGAGAAAAGATGCT